TAAATTACGTTTTCGATCGCTGACATAAATATATCAAAGTGAGCCGTTTAGGTAGCTCAACGAACTTTAGATGGGTTTGATCTCCAAAACATTGTCAACAAAATTTATATTAGTTTTATAGACCAAAAAGTTTGTTTTTACTTTATAAAAAAAAACAAGTCTTGTATTTTAAAAACTATTTTAAAAAAATTGCGCACTTTTTCAGAGAAAATACTCTGCTTGAAGTTTGTTGGGCTTGGTAATTTTTGATTGTTTACAAAAGCCATGATCCGCTTTTTGGATAAAGTTTGGTCCCGAATTTTGTAAAAATCTACCGAAGTTTTGTCTTTCTCATCGTTTTTCAACTGAACTCAAAGTAAATGCAATTCGTCCAGATAATTTTAATCAAAGCTGTAATTTGCCTCTGTGTTTTGAGTTTCATTTTATGTTCGTTTGCTAAACGGAAAACCATTAAAGTTATCGAAAAACGATAAATGAAGTGACGCGAAAAACGTGAATCGTGTTAACTTTCGGAGATTTTTTTAGTTCATTGATAATTATATATTCGCCCAGTTTTCCCGAATTGGGCTGGTTAAACTTCGTGTTATTTTTTCTCTGAGGCTCGAAAGTTAATAATGTTTTAAAAAAGTAAATTTCTTGAAGGTCGTGTACTTTTTTTGAAGCTTGAAAGTTAAAATGTTTTTTTTTTTGTCTTTGACACTCAACCAACTGTCTGTCGGCTGTGTTTGAATGTTTTCTTTGAATAAAACTTAACAAGATTCAAATAAATTATTTAATGCAAAAAGCTGAGTTATTTTCATGCAATATAAATGTACAAGGGTAAATGATGTAATATTACACTAGCAACGCTGTTATAAGATCAGTTATAATTTTCTGCACGAAAGTTCTTTTTTCTAAATTGATTTCTGTGTTCATTTTCAGAAGATGTGTATAGCTCACATTCTTCTTAGCCAGTTAAAAGCATATCTTGTATCGGCTTTATGAAGACGCATTTAATTCCGACTTGATTTACTTGTAAAGCATGTAGTTAAATTACATGAAAGCCACAACTTTCTTTCTCATCGATGTGAAAAACAAGATAATGAAACTTGTTTATTTTGGAGTACGTTCGGCTATACAGCCATCATCAGCACTGAAAAACATGAAGCTTGACATAAAGCAAATCACAAAATCCAAACACATAGTAACAAAATACAAAAACACACAGAAGAGATTCTAGCGAGATGACTCTGGGACAAATAAACTCGAGTTGCTTGCAGCTTCAGCATCAGCTGCCTGCTTCTATACTCTTTGCACGTGTTCAGCTGCGGCTTCCGCTTGGCAGTGTGCAAAGCCTCCAAAGTAAGTAGTTTACCAGTGTCATGAGCAGAGTCTGGAACTTCAGCACGTAAATCTTCTGTGTTTTCGAGGCAATCTCGAAAATGCTTTCCAACTGGACAGTCTGGTTTCGAATGTTCTTTTTGTCTAGTCGTCAGATGCCGGCTTGTTTGGACCACATGACTGGATTGACATCTAGGACAACGGATTTCGTAGACGGCACGACTGCGAAGTTCATTCGGAGTAGGCGTCTTGAGCGACGGAAGCGTTGTTTTCAGCTTGCTGGTAGTAAACACGATGTTAAAGGGAACCACGCCACGAACGCTGCGTGCAAACCTGTCAGAAATAGATCCTCTGTACTGCATGATAAGTGTTGCTCGCTCGCGTTTTTCGTTCCGCTCGCTCGCGTTTTTCGCAACCGTCACCTCAAAACCATTTGCACATAGTTTGATAAGGGTATCATAGACGACTGGATTGTAGAAACTAGGCGGATACTGGTTGTTCTCCCACGCCAGTTTCGTCTTCGCCAATGCATCATGATAACTGCTCCACTTAGAGGTAGTGTTGTTCAGTATGTGGACAGTACCCTGAATGATGTTAATTTTGTAGCGTGTAAGTGCACAGGCATGAAAGGACATCAGCAAACCTGTATCCGTTGGTTTCTGGTACCGGGTGGTCTCAATAAGCAATAATGCCTGCTGAGGTTCTTGTCACCAATATATCCAGAAAAGGAATAGAGCCATCTTTCTCCAGAGCTGGGTGAAGAGTTTTGGCTTGTTTCAGAATATCCTCAACTTTCTGAGCGCGAGCAGTACGGATGATATCATCTACATATCTTCCGAACACTTTGGCCTCTGGTATGCAAGAAAGAGGGGTGTTAACCGACTATCTACAACCACAGAACAATAGGCGCTTGGACTTGGCTATCTCGTTGACTGCTTTGACCGAGAGAGGAGGGCACTTCTCGTGAAACCAAGCCGAACAGGATGCACAGCGAATTGAGGAGACCCGCCATGTGACCTTCAGCTTGCATTTGCCACAATCATAATGTCCTGGCGGAGCGGCTACAGTGTGCGTGACTTCGTTGGGTTTTCCTGCCAGCTGTGGTTCGTACTCCTTTAACCACAGGTCTGCTAAAATTACCGCAAGGCTGGAACCCATCGCCACTCCGTCTTTCTAGACAAACACTCTCCGCAAGCTAAAAACTTGATGTCAGTGACCGCTAGTCTTATTAGCTGCATGAAAATAGACTTGTCCTTAGATGGTTTTTCTTCTAGAACGTACACTTTGTCAGCAGCAATGTTAATTGCTTCCAAGACGGGTACATTCGTGTAAAGACTTTCAACATCCATAGAAAAAACGACCTCATCTTCTTCAAGCTAGACTTTGCACAGGAGCTTCTTCATCTCCGCGGTCGATGTTTCAATATTGGACCCTGCAACGTCTGAAACATACGTGGACAGTTTGGCGTTCAAAGTGGCGTAACAGCTGCCCAGCAGAGACAGCACTGGTCTCATTGGCGTATCTGGCTTATGAACCTTGGCTAAACCGTACAGACGAGGCGAAGTAGCTCCCGTGGAGTGTACGTCGTCATAGAAGGCTTGCGACACACGGTTCGCCTTCAGCAACGACAATAGCTCCTTGTTGAACTGATCTTCTATCTTCACGACGAGGGGCTTCCCTCACTCCGGCACTTTCATCTTCTCAAATTGCCGTCCATTGAGGGTATCCAAGAATCGATTGTTGTAATCAAACTCACTCATCAGGCATTATCCCGAACCTTTATCAAAAGGAACTGCTTTCACTTTTTTCGACTTGAGAAATTCATTGACCCCCGAGATAGCCGATCAGGACGTTGCTTCTTGGCGCTCTTCACATATCTCACTACTTTACTGTTCAGGTCGTTCAATTGTTCAGGAGTAGCACCTGATGATTTGGTTTTTCTCAGGAAAGTATCGAAGTCGGCCAGAAAATGGGTTTGGTTGAACTTGTCGTTGATCGGATGCTTCGGTACCAGTGACAACATATCATCAACATAACTCGGCGGGTCCAACTTTCCAACCCTTTAGACAGTTTTCCCAACCGCACGGAGTGGTTTTCCCTGTTTTTTTTTCGATAGCATTTCGAGTTTCTCCGAATGTCTGCCTCCGACTTCACTATTGATTCTCCACAATAACTGTCTTGTGTAGAAACACGCGGACTCTCTGAGGGTCTCAATCAATCGTGACGAAAAAGCAGCGCGCGTGACTTTTAGGTTGTCTTCTTTCGGAGACAGCTGCTTGATGGTCTCGGTCAGTTCTCTTCTCAGAAGCCTCAGCTGGAAATTGTGTACCAATGTGCGTTCAAAGCAGCCATTCTCCGGTACTCTAAATTTAAGAAAGCTCGGTAGCACGTCGTTCCTCAGGCAGTTCTCAAGAAACCTCTTGCGAGACACAGCAGCTCTAACTGTTCGCAGTGACTTCTGTTACTTCAGTCAAAAAATCCAGTGTCCGTACCCGGTTAATAACTTCGTGAAAAGTTCCCATGGTAACAACATTGATAAAGTGCAACTACTTTCTTTCTCATCAATGTGAAAAACAAGATAATGAAACTTGTTTATTTCGGAGTAATTTCGGCTATACAGCCATCATCAGCACTGAAAAACATGAAGTTTGAGATAAAGCAAATCACAAAATTCAAACACATAGTAATAAAATACAAAAATTTAAAAGCTTACATGAAAGCTTTTAGAGTCATGAACGTCGTGAGTACCCTTATAGGTCTTGTTCAGGGGCGGATTTTGGAGGGATTCGACTCCCTACCGACCTTAGTTTTCTAAAGGCGTCTTGAGCGCCAATTTATGCTAAGTTAGAGGGGGGAGCGCGCTCCGAAAAAAAAACAGCGGTTGCTTGGTCAATATTTATCAAAAAGTGCCTAAAAATGTCTTTTTTGGCCTGTTTCAAAATTTAAATTTTGATGTCAAAACAGGGTCTTTTTAGTGCTGTGGGAGAGTTGGGATAATCGATTTAATCAACCTAAAAAAAAGTCGACAAAAATTTCGAAATGTGAATCCCCGTCGAGAGAAAATTCTAGATCCGCCCCTGATCTCGGTGATTTTTTTCAGGAAAAATTTCACGCTCAAAATTGATTTTTGATTGCTTTTCGAGTTCAGTTCATTTCTTTTGTTAAAGGAAAGGCAAAATGCACTATGAACAGCAAAAATGTTAAGGTCACAAAAACGTGATCGATATCTAATTTCGAAACTGGAATTTAATTTACAGATTTCCCAGCGGAATAAAAAAAATTAACCATTGATCCAGTTTTCTCAAATTTGATTAATTTATCAAAGAAGCGTCAGTCATAAATTGTTCTTGAAATTCAAATGGTTTTAAGGCCATATACTTTTGTCTTTGTATTTCGATTTTTGAAGTTTTTTTTTTAAAAAAAAAACAAATCATTTTTTTTTTCGTTCCTTGCGTTCGTGACTCTTTTCCAACTGTCTGTTGGCTATTTGATCAGCAATTCAAATCACATTCATTTAAATAGACATTACTGATTTGAAGTGCAACTTCTTCATTGTGAATGAAGTGAACTGTGACATTTTTTGGCCGTGTGACGTTCGAAAATTGAATGTTTCAGTCTTTTTTAGCCTTTCTAACTCTGAATAAAACGGGAAAATTTTGAATTGAGCTTGTTTTGTTTAGGTGCACGATGATGTGTACATTCTGAAAAAACTTGGTTTTTGTGCACCTCTCGAACGAGGAACATCTCCTCTTCTGGGAGTGGCTTCATCGTCAACTTCTAATACCACTACTACAAGCCATCTCTCTGCAATTCAGTCTCTACTTCCTTCGAGCCTACACGAATACGTGCAAAGTATGACCCTAATTTAATTGAGATACAATATGAGGTGCTGGACCTTTTTGCGGAACAAGTTAGCATCCTCCCTTTATAGAATTTTATCCCTGTGTACGTTCCCGCCTCGCAGAGAAGGAGGATGAGTGTAATTTACCAACCGTGCATGGGAATTTTTTGTGTCTGTTTCAGATGCCTTTCAAGCTGACTCCTGATCAAGCTGTCACCGATGAAACTAGTGGGTCAATTTCTTGAGAACATTAAATACTTCGATAATGTTTTGTTTAAAATGTTAGCAATAATATCATTCATAAATCTTCTTTTTTTTTGCAATTTTAAGATACTCTATAGGTTATGCAGGGCATTAAGTATAGCATCAGCTCAAGATATTTTTAGTTTTAAGGAAGATTTCGAGAAGAAACTTCAGATAAAGTTGGGTTAAATATGCTATTTTCACTCAATTGCTTAAGAGGGCGTTCAGATGTTTTTTACTGAGAAATAATAAACAAATGATTTTCACGTGTTTTTTTTTTGGCTGAAAAAGCTCAAGTTTGTTTAACTTTTTAAGCCAATTCACATTCATTTGCTAATTGGAAGGCATATTACGTAATATAAAAGAGTAGAAAATTTTTCCATGAATTTTTTCAAGCAGTTCAAGTTCAGAAGTTCGGAGAACTCTAGCTCAGCTGTTATACTTACTCAATAACCTGGTAGTCTTCTAATTTCTAGGATTTCTGTGTTTTTTGCTGAATAATAATAATGATTCCGACCACCGAAAGTGTGGAGGATTTGGGGCTTCCCACGCAAAATTAGGCACAAAGAATCATCAGAATAGTTCGTGTGATATATCGCACTGAAGCCATTTTAGTTGTGATTCGAATGAAATTTCAAAAAGTTTTCTCTGTTGAGAAAAGTCAAGTGAAAATTTCTATCACGTTTTTCGTGACCTTTACAATTTTGCTGTGGAGTTTGTTCAACCTTTACTCTCATTCAGTTTTTCCCATTATTGCAGCGCTTCCCTCGAACTTAAAGATAGGGAAAAATAAAAAAAAAAGTAAAGTATAAAATATTTTTTTTCAATACTTAGAGTAATGAACGTAGTGAGTACTCGTATATAGGTTTTGCTGTTTTTTGTCAGGACAAAGTCTTGAAATAAGTTCACGCTCAGTTTTGATCTTTCGCGGTTGGACTTGTGATTTCTTTTTAATTTCAGTGCATTTCCATAGTTCATACAAGCAAAGCTTGTGTGATAGTTTGAACTCTCTTTTTTTTCCAACCTAAGTTGCAAATATTAGTGTTCATTTTGAAAGTTTTCATTTTGATCAATAACCAGCTATTCAGTACAGCCAATGCTAAGGATATTAACACAGACTATTATATTGCAATTAGCACTTAAGCTTCACGGTATTATGGATCTGTATCTTAGATGCAGGGAAGGAGACCCGCAACAAAATAAGAGGGTTCGAACCTGGGCATGCTAGTTGGTAATTTTTTTTTTTCAAATTGACTGGTACTGCTAATGCTTCATAATTGACTTGCGTCATTTAGTAATTATGTAGACTCATAATTGGTGTGCGTCATTTAAGAAATTTTGTTGAATCGAAGTGTTACTCAATTCAGTTTTTCCCAGTAGCGTTATCGGTTATACTTTTGTTTGTGTATGAGAAGTTTAACTTCGCCTCTGTGTAAAAGGAATGCAAACTCCACTATCGACCAGCAAAACTGTAAAGGCCAAGAAAAACGTGATAGAATTCTAATTTCGAAAATGGATGAAGTATCTGATTTTCCAGCGGAATAATTGGGTTAATTTTGAGAATAAAGTGTCCACCATAATTGGTTTTACAAAAGCATAGAGTTTTAAGGCCATCTGTTTTCTTTTTCTTCGAAATCCAAAAGTTCAAGGTTTTTCAAAAAAACAAGCTTCTACGCAAAAAAGAAAGCTGGCTAGCTTCTGTGCAATTGGCACAGAATGCTCCGACCTCTGTCATATATAAGGTAAATTGCGCATATCAAGGAAAAACACTTTTACGAAAAGGCAACTAGGCCGAAAAACATATGTAGACAAACAATAGGCCGACAATTTTTTTTCCCGTTTGAAAAAAGGGCCCGGTCAGATTCGAACCCAGGACCTTTGGCGTACCAGGCAAACTGGTCAGCTCCAGGCTAAGTGGGCCGGGAACGATAAAAAATTGAAGAAGACCGGGAACGCTCAGAAGATACCACTAAAGCGGATTCCAGAAGTACACTAAAGATGAGTCCTGCGGACAAAGTTGCTTACGGGGAAAAAAGTCTAGTACTCGATTTCGATACCTTTGCTTATTGCAGGGGTAATACAACAAACGGATTCAACAAGTTTTGGACCGTATTTGTAGCTTTTAATTGTCTCGAAACGTCATTTGGAACCAAATGGTGATGTCAGAAAAAAAAACAATGCTGAAACCGCGCCGATTAGATATTAAGCCAAAACCTCGTAAGACGAACCTTCTAAAATATAACTTACAAGTGATTTCAAACCGCAGGAAAAGTCAAAGTTAAACTCATTTTTAAAAAGCTCGAAAGCTTGACTACTCTAAAAAAAGGCCGTCTCTTGCATCAAACAATAAAGCAATATTTAGTGAAGGTTGTGGTGCTCTCTTCAATAAATTCTGACGTTTGAAATCACTTGTAAGTTATATTTTAGAAGGTTCGTCTTACGAGGTTTCGGCTTAATATCTAATCGGCGCGGTTTCAGCATTGTTTTTTTTTCTGACAGTACCATTTGGTTCCAAATGACGTTTCGAGACAATTAAAAGCTACAAATACGGTCCAAAACTTGTTGAATCCGTTTGTTGTATTACCCCTGCAATAAGCAAAGGTATCGAAATCGAGTACTAGACTTTTTTCCCCGTAAACAACTTTGTCCGCAGGACTCATCTTTAGTGTACTTCTGGACTCCGCTTTAGTGGTATCTTCTGAGCGTTCCCGGTCTTCTTCAATTTTTTATCGTTCCCGGCCCACTTAGCCTGGAGCTGACCAGTTTGCCTGGTACGCCGAAGGTCCTGGGTTCGAATCTGACCGGGCCCTTTTTTCAAACGGGAAATATTCCGTTCAAAAAAAATTGTCGGCCTATTATTTGTCTACATATGTTTTTCGGCCTTTGCCTTTTCGTAAAAGTGTTTTCTCTTGATATGCGCAATTTACCTTATATATGACAGAGGTCGGATCATTCTGCGCCAATTGCATAGAAGCTAGCCAGCTTCTTCCTTTTTTCATCGTAAAACAGGCTTGAAGTTTTTGTGCTTTTTAGTCTAATTTAGAGCGAGTAAATGGAGCTAACAGATAAACTAATAAAAGAGATTTTCATATAACGGTTGTTACATGAAAATCGGTTGTTTGAATTGGGAAAAGAAAAATTACATATTAAAAATTATATATAGGCTGCTTTCAAATATAGGATGTTTACTTTGACTTGGCGTGGAGATAGGACCTAACAGAGCAATCAGAACACTAGCACTGCCCTTAATTGACAACAGTTTTCTTTCATTATGAACCATAGCCAACTGAAAGTTGGAGAAAGAATAATGAACGGAAGGAAACTGGAAAAAAAACTGACTTGTTTTTTTGAAAAACCTTCAATTTTTGCATTTCGAAGAAAAAGAAAACAGATGGCCTTAAAACTCTATGATTTTGTAAAACCATTTATGATGGACACTTTATTGTTAAAATTAACCCAATTTGAGAAAATTGTTTCCATGGGTAAAACTTTAATTTCGCTGGAAAATCAGATACTTCATCAATTTTCGAAGTTAGAATTCTATCACGTTTTTCGTGGCCTTCACAGTTTTGCTGTTCGATAGTGGAGTTTGCATTCCTTTTACACAGAGGCGAAGTTGCACTTCTCATACACAAACAAAAGTATAACCGATAACGCTACTTTGAGTTGGGAAAAGAAAAATTAGGTATTGAAGATTATTTTACCGCTTCGCTTTACCCTGCCCCAAAATGTCTATTTTTTGATTTTTCTGTTTTTTATTCATTTTTGAAAGATAACGGTAACTAATTAAGGAAATCCAGTGCTTATGTTTTACGCGTTCTTTTCTGTCCGATCACCAAACCAAATACAAAAAATGCCTTACTTTTAGAAAGAAAAGAAACTACGTAAGAAATAATTTTCATTTCTATCAAGTAATTTTTTCTAACTAACTGTGATCGGAACATTATGTGCCACTTGCACAGCTACCAGCTACTCTAGTTTGATTCAACGATTTGTTTATTGTACGTTTTTCTGTTCAAAATATTTAGACTGTATTTCCTTAGTTATTTCTAGTTAAAGTCAATGAATTTGCGTTTTAGGTAGATTAGCGTTGTCTTTGTTGTTGTTGCATCATGAAATTGATTCGTTGAGTCACTCATAGTTCTCGGTTTGTACTTGGTAGTAATTTCAGATTATCAATTTGATGACACGATGTTCTTCTGAGTGTGCAGAATATATTGTATAGTAGATGAGATGTAGGTGAGATTTGCATGTTTGTGACGAGCTTGTTTGCATATTCGAGAGAGAGAGATAAAGAAGATCAGACAATGGCTGTTGACTCTTCTGAACTCGTTTTGTGCGAGAGTAGCACTTCTATTCTGAAGTTCCTGCTTGGTCAAAGGCTGGTCATCGAACGGGAAATGAATGAGCGATTGTCTCTCTTGATACAGGACATCCCAAAGACAGAGCCGAACTTCGACTCCTTTGTCATATTCCTAACCAACGAGGCGAAACTGCATTATAATCTCGCTAACTCTCTCGCTGATTACGCCCAGGATTCAGTAACAGGAGGTGAGGCTTTGATCAAAACTATGGCTTCTTTAAAGAAGTTTTACGAAGCAGCTGTGCAGGACTTGGAGCGCATCCGAAATCAGATCATATCGACAGTGAATCATGTAACGAAAAGCAAGTCGTCGCCCATGCCTGCTAAGAAAACAGATTCTGTTCCTAGTTTACCGTTAGCTGTCAATGGACCGGTTAATTTGAAGAAATTAGATCCATCACTTGGATCCAATAATTCGATCACGCCTACCAATAAAACGAAAGTAGCTGATATAATGGTACCCGTCCCGGCACCAAAACTGCCCCCGCCTAAAATTGAACCTCTGAAACCGCCGTCAGAAATCACGCCGAGTAGCAATAGATCGAAATGGTTCAAGTCCAAAAAATCTACTTTAAAGTCTAAACGGAAACAGGGAGAGCCAAAAACTGAGACGGACTCTTCTTCCCCACAATCGCAGGGTGACAGAGAAGTAGACGAGGATGGGTTCTCGGTTAGACCAGTGGTCACGAATGACGACA